GCACTCAAGCTATTCACGCCCACCTCACTCTCTCTCACACACACACACACACACACACACACACACACACACACACACACACACATATGACAACACACACCGCCAGGTGCGCTGGGGGGCCCCGGCCCCCAACCGGGTGCCCCGCCCGGCCAGGCCGCCCGGGACCTCCCCCGGGCTCCTGCCGGTCACCCGGGCGGCCCGGATCCCCACTCAGTAAATAAATCAATAAAATGACGAGTGAAAAAAAAAGCTCCCTGGGGCCTTCCCACTCTCCACAAAAGCCTATTCCATGCCATTTCAAACCACTACCAATAGCTGAGATCCAGCAGAACCCCCCACCAATAGCTGAAACTGCTAACTCTCGTGTTATGTGTTCGTTTCATTGAATTTGATTAACTCAAACCCTCCTTCAAATGTTCCCAATATCTCTCTCCCATGGCTATGGTGTGATCATCAGTTCAAATCCTGCGGTCAGCAGTCTGCAATGTACCTGGTTACAAAGAAGGTCAGGTGCTACCCCCTGACGACAAGGAAAAAAAAGAGGGGGGAAACGCCAAAAACACATTCTTTAATAAACCCAAGCAAAACAAAAACAGGTTCTCTACTCTACGCATTCTTTAATCAACTTAGGGCATACTCACACTACGACTTTTTTACGTATTTTTGAACGAAATTTCGGCCAGATACATCCAGGTACGGCCGTGAATGCGGACCGATACATTTGAGATACGGTTAGTGTGAGTACACCCTTAGGTAGCAATGCTAACTCACACTCAGGTACCACACAAAACGACGAGGTACACTCGCTGCGTAAGCAGTGGATGAATTGTTTTTGGATTTTTAATCATTTTTCAATTTTTAATCATTTTTCAATTGTTTTCGTAACTTGAAAAAAAAAGTTCTGAAGAGTGCGAAAAGGAACTAACTCCTGTCAAAAACACAAAGAGAAAGACAATTTAAGGAATTAAACAAAGACGAAGAGATGACGAGCGCGCATTACCCGAACCCTTGTGTTCATAGCTTGCTCCACGCGTTTCCATCCCTCCGCTCGTATCGCCAACGACTCCTGCGGGGACAGCAGCGCAAAAGTTAAGGTCATAGTACCTTCATCATACACAAAAGCAGACGGCGAACAGAAGAAGAAAGAAACTAGCCTAATTTTGTTCTTTCTTTCTTTCCAAATTGCGAAGTTCTGTCGTAGAAAAAGGAAACAACAAAGCAGACAAGGAAAACTGGCCCTACTGGCCTGCAAACACCACATACACACTCCTGTTCTCCTATCCGTAGCGTTTCCATAACTCTCTCCTCCTTCCCTCCCCACCTTTGCCTATTGTTATTCTCCTAATGTCGATGCCGCTGTTGCCCCTCATCCTCCACCCCTCCCCTCCCTCTCTCTCTCTCTCTCTCTTCATCCTGTTCTTCCTACTCCTCACCGTGCCTTTCACAGAACACACCCCACAACACACCCCCATCACGACAATTCCACCCTTCTAGTGCGGAATTTGTGTTATGAATTCATCCGAGCGAGGAGAGTGCGGTCAGCAAGAAAAAGAGACGTAGCTGTACGCGACGGCAGTCATAGCACCAGCACCAGCTTAAAGGAAATAGCTTCATGTAAGGGGCTACCTACCCTGTGTAGCACGGCACATGTTTTCCCGCTCGGGATTTGCGAAGACGAGAGCATGTTCTCCCGCTCGGGAATTTTTTTTTTTTTTTGGTTTCTGATTTTTTACTCGTGTTTGGCTAAGAATTTGGAGATGCCTCCAAGGCAAAAGTTGTCTGCATTATTATTTTACATAACAAATTTGTTTTTCGATTTTTCTGAGAAACTTTCGTTTTTTTCTTTTTTTTTTCGCGTTCGAACGGTTTTGGCACCCATTCGCGTTCTGTCGCAAACATTATGTCTTTTATGACCGAATGCGAGTTCGATGCTATGCATGGGCTACCCATTAAATTCAAATTCATTAAATTCATTAAATTCATTAAATTCAGATTGATTTCCTAATAAACCCTATACTATATACTGTTTGGTGGGGTTCAGGTTGCAAAGCAGAGGCAGACCTGCAAAGCTTCAATCTGCCTTAACAATGGTCTAGTCGAATCTGGCATCTGGCTAACAAGTTCTTCATGCTTCTGTTCTGCTGCCTGCACAAGGTATCATCAGCCAACAAAGAAAAAGACAAAAACAAAAGAGGGCACAAGAACGTAAAAACGAATAATATTAGAAACAGTAAATTCAGAATCCACTATTTAGTATTTAATCAATTTTAATGTTTTGTTACTTTTGTGTAATTTAGTCTAATAATTAAATTATAATTTACTGATAATTCCCACAATGTTACAGCTGTTACTCAATTTCATTTAAAAAAAAAAAAAAAAAAACAAACAGCAACGGGTAAACGAAAAAGAAAAATGTAAAAAAAAAAAAAACAGAGGGAAAAAAAAAAAGAAAGAGGAACCTTTAACAAGTTTAACTCCCCCTTCCCCCCCAAAAACAATTGACCGCACAATCAGCACCAAACTCTGCAGGGCTTTGCAAATCGATTATCAATTGTGACTTGTCAATATCAATTTTATTTTCGACCAGAAACCGAAACTGCTAATGTAATAAATAAAGTTGAAAGTTAAATTTAAAATTTATACTCCCCACCTGGGCCGATGGCCGAACCAAGCAGGTTTCACAGTTTGACTTTTGAGCTCAGCTGCAAATTATATCCATCACATGGCTGTCGTGACAGTGTAAACATGCAGGCCTACTCACTAACTGGGGAGATAGCAGCAGAAGGGGAGGGGGGAGAAGGGGGGGGAAGGGGGGGTGTGAAAATGCAAATTCAGGCTTCACACGCACGCCGTGCAAAAGAAAAAATAGTAGAGCCCCTACTGGATGCACACGCATGGTCCAAAAGCAACGACTAAGGCCTGCTGGCCCCATGAGGGCATGGTAAAGCAATGCTTGTGAATCGAAAAGGTGATTTTGGATCAGCTCTTGGTATTATGGGGGGTGTGTTTTTTTTTCTATTTTTCAAACAGAAGGCCTTTTCAACCATTAAAAAAAGAAAAAAAAGAAAAAAAGACTTTTCATTGTTTTCAACCGTTTTTGCTTGTGCATACGCTTTGGGAGGGAACCGTCTTTCTCTTTTTTAATATGAAAATTCATGCACTAACTGCTATTTGACAATAGTATTTGTGTTTTACTCTTTAATTGGAGCACAATGGATTTGTAGGACGCACTTACAAAGGCTATATCCTTCCTACGCACAAGTTAGAAATTTCCTTTTTCTATATTTTATATTGTTAATCCTATGTATCTGTCCAATTGATGTAATGTAATGTTAGCTGGAAAAAAAAAAACAAGTAGCTTCCTCATGGTAACCGCCCGGATGTCCGGACCGGGTTCCAGACAGTCCGGTGTCCGGTGTCCGGTGTCCGGTGTCCGGTGTCCGGTGTCCGCTCCCCATGTCCGGATGGAGGCCCCTGGGGCAAAAAAAAAAAAAACAGGGGCGGTCCAGGACATTTGTCGGGTCCTAGCCGCCCCTCAAAAAATAACGGAGTGTTTTTAAGTGTCCTTTCACCCCACCGGACATGGCCTAGAGGTCCAGACACAAGACACTGCAGGTTTTTGAGGTGGCGGGTTTTGCACAATCCCGAGCAATTTCGAAGCGGCCGTTTCGACGTGGCGCCCGCCGCTGCTGCCCGTTGGGGG